GTCCGTCCCCTAGTTTAATAATTTTGAGCGATTTGTGAACAATACAATTTCGCTTGTCTTTCAAAGGCCATAAATCGCTAGAATACTGTAGTTTAGTAACACATTTGACTTATGTGAGTATAATTTCTTACACTGAATCGAATGGTGGTATTTTTGTCCTTATTGGGCGCATAAAACCAGAGATAAGTCGCAGCAAAAAGTCAATCGTGAAAGTTTGAGATTAATTCGAAAGAAAACTTTCCTCGAAAAAAGGAATTCGGAAAACGTGAAGGATTATTTTGAGCGGCTTTTGTCTTTCAAAGGCGACAAATCGCTAGAATAGAAGTCAATTTTGAAATCAATTTTCCATCCGTAAACACAACTTTTCACGCTGATTCGAACAGTGGTATTTTTGTCCTTGTTTGACGCATAAAACCAGAGATAAAGCTGAGCAAACAGTCGATCATCATGAGAGTACACGATTAATAATAATTAGTATAATTACATAGGTGATTATTGAAAATTCTCCACGCTGATTGGTTGCCGTTGAGGTGATTATTACGCGATAATCACCTAAGCGATTTTCAAAATGGCGGCCGAAGCTGTTTTGTCAATTAAATGACGAAGAAATGTGCATTTTAAAATTTTTTTCCAAATAATCACCTATGAAATTATACTAAAACAATTATTCACCTCAGGCTCAGTGATTATCGTGAATAAAAACCTCGACTTCGTCTCGGTTTTTATTCACCGATAATCACCTCGCCTTCGGCGAATAATTGTTAATTAATAAATTCATAAATTCCGAGCACGTGCAAGGAATTTTTTGTAGGCGATTAAGGAAACGTATTGATGCGAACAAACTAACAAACGGACAGACTAACGGACTAACAAACTCACAGGCAGAATATAATGCGGTGCCAAACTTTGGGCACCGCAATTATTAAGCAGCTGTTAATAGCGTGCGTGTGAAATGAACATTAATCCATACAAGGTTTGTTATTTTATTACATATTTTACCACCTCAAACTCAAATTATAGCAAATAGTTTAGAATAATTATTTTAATGTGTGTTCACTTTGATGCTCAGTTAAAATAATCAGTAAAATTACTTTCTTTTGATACACTATTGTTTATTGATCTTATTATATTCCACAAGTACTAGTAACCCAAAAATACAGCATTGAGATATGTTACCCCAGTGCGACACCAGAAATTATTATTGTCTCCCCACACGTCGCGTTTAAAAAAAATGGAAGCTTGTTGCTCGTTTAACGCCGGATTAACCATGTGTCAGATGCGGCAAATGCCACGGGCCTCGCGCTTATGGGCAGTGCTTCCACTTTGGCAAAGCAAAATTTCTCGTTTTTGTCCTTTTTTCGCAAAATTTCCTTCCCAAAATCCTAAATTTCCTTCCATTTTTCTTCCAATCTCAGTTTAAAATAGTATAGAAAATTTTGTATTATACTTTATTCCGATGTAAATTGAAGGTGTACTGCAGTATTCAAATAGTGAAACTCTAATTTAACCTGAAACAACATGTTAATCTGTTGTCTCATTTTTTGTCTGTTTTCTCGAACGACATAGTAAAACGACTTTTTTATGAATTTGCTTTTGGACCAATTGTTTGTTTTTAATTTTGGGTTATAAAAATTAAAAACCCGCGAAAAAATTGAGCCCCCGTTATTTATATACAAGTACTCTACTCATTCACTGAAGACCTGGTTAAGTCCCAAATTACCCCCATTCATCCTTGATGGTTATGTAAATATCCAAAGTATTGTTTTTATAAATGTTTTTGAACTGAAAAGTTCATAATAAAGTGTTTAACCATTATTAAATTACTAGAAATTACTGAAAAAGTTTAAATTGTAAAATTTCCTTCCCTTTTCCTTCAAAATGTCCGAATTTCCTTCCAATTTCCTTCCAATTTCCTTCCAAATCTTATTTCCTTTTATTTTTCCTTCCAAATGCCAAAATATCCTTTTGGAAGGAAATTTCCTTCCGAGTGGAAGCTCTGCTTATGGGGGCATTGCGCTTTACTGTGCCACGCCCATTTTTACGAGAACACGGCCATTTTCTATTGGGACACACCCATTTTAGGTGCCTCGCGAATTTAGGGCCCCTAGGCTTGGCAGTTGGCCCCAGCACGGCCCCGGGAAGATATGCAATACTCGTGTGCATATAATCTCCAGTTGCGTTGAGCTGTTATATTATGATCCTGTTTATACATGTTGACCCAACAACTGGGCCAGGCAGGCCATTGTCTCGTTTATAATTGATGCTAATAAATTGAAATATTGAAAAAAATTATTTAACAATTTTGTGTGTCTTTAAATTCAAAGGTTTTCATAACAAGGCGGAGAGTGGGGGGGAGGGGGGTTGGGCTCGCGCTAAAATCTGCCACGAGCCTCGCGCGACGCTGAATCCGGCCCTGGTCACTTGTCGGTAGTTCTTGTGGTTTTAATGCCAATTGCCAAAGAACGAAAGAGAGCACCGATGACTTCCCCCGTCGGAGAATTACTGGCGCAGCCCAGGCCAGCTCAGTGAAATATGGGGGCCCAGGGCCAATTATATCTTTGGGGCCCCGGTGAACCACAATAATTCCCCTCCCACCCCTCCGTCGACAAACTTTTTACCCCCTTGCAAATTTGTATTTGCCGGCCCTCCTTGAGCTGGGGTCGCGGAGAAAATTGCTCCCTTTGCCCCCCCCCCCCTGCAAGGGCGGCCCTGGCGCCACCCCTGTCTTATCATAACTATCTACTACAAATAATTTTTAAAGCCCTGGTCTTTTTCAAGTAGTTTTTTGTCCCGAAAAAGTAAAAGACTTAGAAATGGTGATTAAATTATTTACTACGGTATGTTATTTAATAACGAGCCAGGGTTATGGTAGGGATTTAAGTTATAAAGTTGGTGTTTGGAATAGGGTTAGTGTAAAGCTTTGTTACGTTTTGTCATTCTGAGGCCAGCGATATAACCTCTTACGCAACATGCATGCGTACGCGTCTACTATCGTCAAGAAACAATCAATACGTATAATCGTTGTGGTCTGTGGGATTTTAATGAGATTTAATGACCTTGCAGTTTTAACACACATTAGCCGAATTCATATTAGAGACGGGAAACTCGTATTAGACGCGGGAAACTCGTCTTAAATTCGAATTTATCCGTCCCTAAATTCATATTCAGACGGGTTTTCACAGACGAGTTTCCGTCTAAGACGAGTTTCGCGTCCCTAATATGAATTCGGCTATTCAAATATAAGGGCTGGTAAACTAAAAATAAAAACTTATATTGATAAACATTATAAACGTTCATTTCATGTACACGCACGCTAACACCTACTTAATAATTAACTTACGTCTTCGTAAACATTATAGTCGATACATAACTGGTACATTAATTTAATAATATGGACAAAATGGAACAAAACCTCTGAAAACAGCAGTTGTAGTTCTAATTATTTTGGTAAATTTAGTAACAAATATAATCCCTAAACAGCTCATCGCTTTGTATGTTAGCGCTATTTAATAAAAGTAGACAATATTGAACAGTGATCTGAAGTTATCATGCAACTGACAGCAATATTATATCTCAAAATACCTGTATATGATGATATTTCACAAATATATCGGGATTTGTGGACCAATTTTAAACTTAGCAAGGCAAAAAGTCTCCATTCAAGAATATATCTTCTTCTCAAAAGGTAAAATACTTAAAATACTTGATTAAATTGTTTACTTCGACGGTATGTAAATTAACAGCGTTTGACTTGCAAGACGTCAAAAACGGACGATTTCAACGCGCTGTCGTTTATCGCGTATTCATTTGCCCAAAGAAGTATTTACGTCAATTGAAAGCTTGTTTATTAAAGAGCCAACTAGTAGAAGCATGATCGATTTGAAGCTTTATCCCATAGTGAAAATCGGTTTTGTTAAGAGGGTATCGTAAATGAAGTAAGATAGTGTGCTCCAAAACTACGATTATTTCTATTCCTAAAAGTAACTCAGATTTCTTGTAAGTCACGTACCCGATCATTTGAATAACCGAAAACAGGATTTTTAGGGTTTTAGATCGGTAAAATCAACGCATATTTTCCCAGACAAAATGGCGATTTAGGGTGGTCGTGTTAAAACGGCATTTTCTCAAAGTTAAAAAAGCATTTGACCTAAAAAAAATATATGGTGCATTTTCCGATATAATAAGGTATATCTGGGCAAAATTTGAGCAAAATCGATTTTTCCGTCGTGGCCGCCTTATGTTTGATTTTTGTGGACATCCTCTCTTAAAAGGTCTCTGTGAACGATTCTGTGGGTTATACAGTAGCCGTGAAAAGTTGCTCGCAAAAGTGCAAATTCTAGGTTTGTGAGAAAATATATTTAAATTATACTATTTATAGCAGTGAGCCTAATGGTTTGTTTTGGTGAGCCAGCCCGCTTCAAAAGTATCATGTGTAAGCACAGTCTCAGCAAAGCGAGCTACCTCGGTTAACTCGGAGAACCCGGCCTAATATCTTGTAAATAGCTAACAGTCTTTTTCTTGGCAAATAAAACTAATAACCAGTCCTGTAGATGCAAATGACTATTTTCTTCAATGTTTAGAATTCCACCCTATACCCTTGCAATCAATTGGAAATCTTCTTTGGGTTATCAGCCCAATACCTGAGGCAGTGGCTGACACTTTGGGGGCGCCCCTAGTGTCTAATACAATGAAGGGGTCCAATTAACGATAGGCGAGTTGAACATACAGATTTGTTACACGTTTTGGGTAGGGCGTTTGCATTGCACAGGAACGCTTGCTAAGAGGGTCATTTGTTGGAAGTTATGTTTTATTTTACATATTGCTAAATCTTGTTTTAACTTTATTTTGTCTAGAAGAGAAAGAATATAGGCGTGCATATTCGCAAGCTCTCCAAGAAGGTAAAGCAAAAAATAATCGCATTCCGATTATGCTGGTCGGGCAAGACCGAGGCGGAAAAACGTCGCTGATGAGACGTCTTTTGGGATTACCATTCAACAAAGATTCACCCAGTACCCCTGGCATTGACGTTAATGTTATCGAGCTATCAGAACAAAAGGCAGAAGATCCCTGGAAGAAAAGAGAAGTGAACAAATTTATGACCAGTGAAAGTGAGGCAAAGACTGTGTTTTACAAAAAAACTGTCGAGTACCTTCAGAGGAATTTAGAAGACACTGATAGTGACCATGACATTGATAGTGGAGTTCAGCTGTATTTTGAAGGGGATGCGCCAGAACCAGTGAAGCCAGTGAAGAGAACAAAATTATCAAGTGAAGAAATTTCAGAAATCAAATTGCAGGCTAATATTTTGACCACTGAACACGACCAGAAAGAAGTTCTTCGGGTATTTGTAACTGACTTTGCTGGACAGTCAATCTATTACGATACCCATGGCTGCTTTGTGAAACCGCATTGCCCTTATGTTTTGGTTCACGACCTTTCTCTGGAGTTTGATGAACCCGCCGTTCCCAGGTTTAAAGACAGAGATGAAGAGGAAGAGATAGAGATGAACAATCCTCATCGTAATACTAATTTAGATAATTTTACATCATGGTTGAAGTTCCTGCAAGGTTTAGGAGAATGGCAAGATCAACAGTTTCCTGATAAATCTGGTCACTGTACCACTGCAAAAGGTGAGAACTTTAAACGGCCACCAGTATTAATAGCCTTAACTCACAGTGATAAGGTGAAAGGCAACGACAGCAAAATAGATAGCGTACTAAAGAGAATAAAAAATGTCGTGTCTGAAGGAAAATATGAGAATGTCATCCCTGGGGTTTTCCAGATCGACAATACATTGGAAGGCGACGACGGAGACGACGTGCGAAAGCTTCGTAGAAAGCTTTTTGACCTTTCGAATGCAGTGCTTGACCAGGAGACTTTTGTGCCTGTGAAGTGGCTAGATTTTGAAGCTGCTCTAAGCCGGAAGCTATCACCAGATTGCAAGTATATCCCAGTTGACGAAGCTAAGCGGGAAGCGGAGGCCTGTGACGTTGGGGAGTTTGATCAAGCTATCAAATTTCTACACCGTCAAGGAGTGGTCGTACACCACAGTGGATCCAGCAAGGTTGTATTGGATCCTCCCTGGCTAATGAAGCGCTTTACGAAAGTGATCTCCATGCCTGGAAAATTGGATGCCTTGTCCATGCATCCTCTTGGTGTGTTCAAGGAGAAAGGCATTTTGTTTCGAGAATATTTTCAGACGCTGGAACACGCAGAACTTTTAGAAGAGCTGCTGCAAAAGTTTAATTTGATTTGCCCTTGCCAGTACGAAGGAAAGCCAGCTTTTTATGTCCCTTCAGTTGCCCCAACTATTATGATACCAGGAAAAGAGTTGGAAGCTAGCAAAAAGGAGTTGAATGTTCCATCGCTGTTTGTGACATTTCCTCGCAAACTTGTGCCGATAAGCTTGTTTACGAAGCTTCAAGTGAAGTTGATTTCTGAGTGGGAAAGGCGTTTCCGCAAACAGCAAGCCACGCCTAACTTCTACTGCAACTATTCCTTGCTTCCGCTTATTATAGACCGCGATGTGTATGATATTTGTTTAATCGACCTTCACGAGTTCATTAAGGTTGCCGTTTTTCCAAAACAGGATGGCAACCATTTCAAGTTTGCCAGTTATCTTCTAGCCATCTTGAAAAAGTGCTTGGATGACCTTAAATCTCCAGATCAACTATTATTCAGCATGACCAGCTATGACCTCGAAGTGAAATGTACCTGCTGTTTTGGTAAAGAAGAAATAAGATGTTTTCGTCATCATGAGATCCAGTGCCATTCGGACCGTTGTGGGCACCGCCACTTCTGGAAGCTCAGTGACCTTCAGAGATCCTGCAACGATCAATCCCCTGCAGTTTGCCGGTCGGACAAACGCTCGTCCGAGGTGTTTGACATAAAGAGTGTAAACATTTGGCTCAATACTGGTAAGTGACTAACACTAAAGGCGTTTTTACTTTGCGAGTTTTGAAATGTTTATCTGACATTTTTTAATCATTTAACAATTAGATAAGTTGTCTAATGATTAAATATGAATTTTTTCTGTGTTGGTGTAATATACTCAGGTGAATATGATTCTTGTGATGTTGCTCTGAGTGTATATCCAGTCCTTTCCATTTAAAGTGGTCCTAAGTTAAAAACAATGTAGTTGTGACGTAATTACCGAAAGGGTGTATCTTTGAGCATTAATTGCAGTGTTTTGTAATTGTGGATTGTAACTGTACACTTCGTTTAGCAAGTGGAAATGAACCTAGTTTTCGGGGTTGACCAATTATATTCGATTTAGGGTGTTTTTCCAAATTGATTTTGTGAGCACCATTGACAAAGAATTTAATAAATGTAATGATTTAAAGTTTGTCAGTTGACGGCAACCAGGTATAATATCAGTCATGTTTTCGCTCGCTACTCTGGTTTTGATAAATTAATGCAAAGCCCAGTTGAACTGCATTCACGACCCATCGTTTCCACACTCCAGTCCAGGGATGCCGGAAGTTGCTGGGGGCAACGGGTGCAATTGGTTAACAAGAGGACATATTCCTTAACAAAAGGGCACTAATGAAAATGAAAGGGCATCTAAAAATTATTTTTGGCGACCTCCCCCGCCCCCCCCCCCCGTCGCCAAAAATTTTTTGGTCAGTGTACCATTTTAGGGGTAAAAATAATTTTCCGGACATACCACAATTTTTCCTAAATACGAAAAAAATTTTCCGGACATACCGAAAATTTTTCCGGAAAATGTTATTTTTTCCGGAAATTAAAACATTTTTCCGGAAACAACATAGATTTAATTTTTCAAAAATGCCCTTTGCGCAAAAAATGAAATTTTTAATGAAAATTTTTCACGCAAAAAGGGCACTTTGTGCACCCGTTGCACCCGTATTCTGCACCCGTATTCTGCACCCGTAAAGTTGTGAAGACAAAAGGCAACGGGTGCAACTGCACCCGCTGCACCCGTGGTTCCGGCATCCCTGCTCCAGTCTAGTGTCTTCAATCTTGACAATGAATGCTGTTTTGTTTTCTGTGTTGTTTTATTAACTGATACATGGTTTTATATTGTAACTAATTTATTAAAATTTTTTATACCTGTACATTTTTGTGCAAATTTAGCCGAGCAGAAACACGCCCTGAAAATTTCTGAACATACCCTTATAATAATGTGTAACCGCAAAACAGGCTACAATTGATATTCAAAAATTCCCAAACCAACATACACTGAATAGCACCCAGGGAAATTTGGGTGCCCAGGTGACTTTGGCTCCCTGGTGATTCCATCTTCTAACACTATGATTAGGAGGGTTCGGGGGCATTGTCTCGGAAATGTTTGAAATCTGAGGTCCCTGAAATGGTCAAATCCTGCATTCTGGAAGTCTGTTGAAAGTTATATCTACAGTATTTATATTTCACTGTATTTTTTATTTGGCTCCCCCCGCCCCCTTTAGCTGGGGCCTTGGCAGCACCTGCAGTTACGACTATCTATGACAGCATAGTTTCATAATCACATGCTTGCAGAAAAGAAATAGTTTCGTCTTGGCAAATGAGAGGCGGGGCTTAGGCGTGACAAACCTCAAGAGGAGTTCCAGGGGCATGCACCATTGCACCCACAGAAAATGTTGTTATCTAGGCTCTCTAAAAGGGCATTCTCGTGTTGAAAGCAATATGTTACTCATTCGCTACGCTTATTCATAGTTACACAAACCTACAGTTGACGCTAACATTTCTTCGTCCCATCATGTTTCATGCCAAGATATGTCAGAGTTGCACATACAAACTTAAATTGCGGTTTTGAATACTTTGGGTTTGGAAAGGTCACGCGGTACCAGCAAAATGTGAGTACGCAGATAGCAAGAGTTCCGCGTACCTACACGGCTACACGTGGTACTTGCATGGTTGAAAACAAAGGAGTACCAGACCGTAATATTGGCGTACTTCCGGTACGTAAGTACGCGAATTATCGCACTCTGTCATCCTTATCCCTGTCCTCATCTTTATTGTTATTGTTGTTATAATGATTAGTACCGTAACTTTGCTTGGTTATAGGGAACTATCAAAATCTTCATTTTTTGTTTGTTTTTTTCTCTTCTATAACAAAAAAGCCAACAAAGTTCAAAGAATGGTAAAGCGTCTTAAATCTGTTGTTATGACTGCTTTTAAAAACAAAGATGACGATGAACTAACCTACACAGGTACGGGTTGGCTTGTTGCCAAGGAAGAAAGTGAATCTTATATAATGACTAACTATCATGTGATTTCAGCGATCAAGCAACGCAGCAACCTCGCAAGCCAGGAAGACCCTGGCTTGCGAGGTTGGCAACGCATGCGTCAAACTCAACGCGAAATCAAGGTCTATATGACTATATCATAATTCGCGCAGCCTTACTACAGTGCTTCCACAACCGCTCGTTCAAAAATCCTTTTACAATCTCTAAAATTCCTTTTTTCCCCACAAAATTTCCTTGCCACCCAAACGGTGAAAAAAATCAAGAAAATTCAGGCAATTTGCAGGGGCGGATCCAGGGGGTATCGAGTGTAGCTCAAGATACGGTCAGATTTTTCCGATTGTGCATACTAAAATAGTTTTGGGGGAAAATTCAATAATAATATATTTTCACGCAATTCATTTCTGTTTACAAAAGTAGTGAAAATTTGAGTTTACTAAGATGAACGAGGGCAAATTCTTTCGTAAATTTTTAAATTTACAGCTCTAAATGTAACATTAGACGTGTTTTTAAAGTTGAATTACTTTCGACGAAGATGAGCCGAGAGCTTTCCGAAGGCATAACCCGACGTTACGTAACCCGATCGGGAAAATGTTTTCAAATGCGTCTGCGGTCCGCGGTTCAAATGTTACTAAAAATAGTAACTTAATGAGGTATTTGGATACCTTGGAGGGTATCCAGCCAGTCACAGGACGTGTATCTATATGACGTCGGATACCCTCCGATACTGTGGCTGTATTTTGATTGCGCAAGAAATTAAATAATCGTGACCGCTCGGAAACTTCGTCTCATATTGCTAACAGCCGCATTTCATCTAACGTAACTGAGTGAGTTAGTGATGGCCTTACATAATTTCAGAAGACGTCCTTGAAATAACACTTTATAAATAGTGTACTGGATGCCAATTACAACAAGACTATTACGAAAAGGATATGTCCGAAGGGGCCGAAGTTATGTTTGGCGAAAGGTATGGCTAGTTTACATTGTTCGAGAAAAATTAAATAATCAAAGATATTAATCTGTAAAGTCATATTGCGGCATTGCGCGTGCAATATGTTATTAATTTAAATAGGGACCTGCCGAGAATATTAATATACTCAGTCGCGAAAACCGACTTTTCTATGTCAAAACGCCCCCGGCCACGTTTCATGAAACAGAAACTTGAACACTGATACCAAGAAGACTTATTGTGTGTTTTTTTGTTATTTTGTGTTTAAAATATGACCTTGTTAATTAAGGCCAAATTTCAGGGTTCAAATTTCAAAAAATTTCCGGGGTGGCATGCCCCCGGACCCCCCTATTTATGCGAGACCTAGGAATATGATACGGTCACATTTTAACCAAATGTGTCATAGACCCTACGAGAAATCGAGTATCATTACATTGCCTGAAATTTTGGGCAAGCTTTCAAGAGTTCCCTCCATGAAAGTATCTGTTCCACATGTATGTTTATGCTCATCCAGGGGCGTAGGGTGTTTGATAATTGTGGACGGGAGGGATGGCAGAAGGTGCTGAACGACAAATTTTGAAATTTATAGTCTCCAGATCGCCGGAAATGGCATTTTCAGATATTTCGTACCTCTTTTGTTAGACCTATACTACTTATAAGTTCATTTTTACTGGTTTAAGTGGTTTTAAACTTGAAACTGGTATAAGTTACATAAATCCTTGCAATTTCCTTTAATTTTTATATTTTCCCTTGCCATTTCCTTGTGCATTTCATTTCTTTCTAAATTCCTTGCATGGAATTTGCAAGGACCAATATTTCCTTGCTGCAAGGAAAAATCCTTGCAAGTGGAAGCACTGGTCTTATATCCCCTATGTATAATTTATATTTCATCCGTTTTTCAAGTGCGTGGTACAGCTATGGTAGAAGACAGCTCAGACTTTAGATGGCCAAATGAAACCTCAAGTGAAGCTTCAAGCTC